ACTGCTGGCGACAATATATTCCACAGTTTTGTCGTACGTGGTAAAAAATTTCGACATAAAACGCACGGTTGTGGATAGCCACGCACCAAGATGATGGGGATGAAATTTATGTCGTGATGTACGATGGCGAAATGCAGCAGCTGGAATTAATCCGAACAATTCCTCAGAACACTCCCCGTGATAAATGCGATAGAAGATGCAGAGTGAAGCTACATCCCTACGCAAAGCCAAAGGATCAAGCTGATCGGAAAGGTCCTGGTCGTCGACAATTCGAGCCGCTCGGCGCTGGATGCGATCCAAAGGGAGAAGCTGGTACTGGGGTGCCCCCGGCCAAAGATGAGAGCAGTACTCCATGTGAGGCCGAACCTGTGCCTTATAAAGCTGCAGTCGGTGGGCTGGTGTGAAGTACATTCTCGATCTATTGAGCACACCAAGCTTCTTAGAGGCCAATTTGGCCTTGCCCTCTAAATGATCCTGAAACTGGACGTCGCTCGATATGTCAACGCCAAAAATTCCAATACTAGCTGAGGCAGTTAGAGGAGTGTTCTCAAAAGAGAAGATACGACAAATGGTATTTTTTTTTTTCGGTGAACGCGCATACTTGTGTCTTCGTAGGGTTAAATTGGACTAGTTTAAGTCGGCCCCAATTCGTTACTCGCTTTAACAAAGTTTCGACTTCAGACACAAGTTTGTTCCGGCACTCGATGACGTTTTCCCGTGAAATGTTGGCGCGGCCGGTATATAGGGCATCACCCGTGCTGTCGTCTGCATAACAATGAATGCCATCAATTTGAAGCATATCATTGATATGAAGAAGAAACAGCGTAGGCGATAGCACACAGCCTTGTGGAACACCAGCGTTTACGGATTTGGAGTCCGAGCATGCACCGTCGACTGCGACCTTGATGCTCCTGTCCGCAAGAAAGCTAGTGATCCAACCGCACAGCTTTTCAGGAAGCCCATAAGAAGGAAGCTTCGAAAGAAGCGCTCTGTGCCAAACCCAATCGAAGGCCTTCGCGATATCCAGACCGACCGCCAATGCTTCCCCCTTGGTCTCGATCGCCTTTGCCCAACGATGAGTCTAGTAGATCACCAGCCGAGCGACTCTGACGGAAACCGTACTGGTGGTCACTAATCAGCTGGTGGTCCTCTAGGTACCGCAGGAGCTGGCAATTTATAATAGACTCCATTATCTTGGAGAACAAGGAGGTGATGGCTATAGGCCTATAATTAGTAGGGAGTGAGCGTTCGCCTTTCTTAGGAATCGGGTGCACTAAAGCTGTCTTCCATGAGTTCGGAACGACACCTAAAGAGTAGGAGAGCCGGAAAAGACGCGTTAGTACCGGAGCCAACTCAGGAGCACACGTCTTCAGCACAATTGGTGAGACTCCATCAGGCCCGCTCGACTTGTGGATAACAAGGGAAAAGAGTGCTTTACGCACTAAGCTTTGTGTGAACCGGATCTCCGGCATAGAGCTCTCACACCGCGGGATGGTCGGCGGTATGTATCCCCTGTCATTTAAAGTCGAGTTAGACGCAAAGAGTGAGCATAAAAGATCCGCTTTCTCTTTTGCAGTATGGGCCATCGATTCGTCGCCATTGTGCAGGGGTGGAAGGGATGGCTTACAAAAAATTCCTTCAACAGCCTTGGCAAGAGACCAAAACGCGCGTGTTCCAGAGGGAAGTTTTATTAACCTCTCGCCAATGCTGTTAATGTGCTCTGACTTAGCTCTGGCAATTACTCTTTTGCAGGACCTGGAAGCCAAGTTATACTTCTTTTTGAGATCGCTAGTGTTGTTATCCCCGACCGCCGCTGCATTTGCCCAGGCCTGATAACACATCTGTTTTTGGCGAGATGCCAGTTTACAGTAGTGACCAAACCAAGGCTGGGATTTGCCACCAATGGGAACCACAGAGGAAGGAACAAAAAGTTCCATACCCTGAAGAACAACATCGGCGACAGAATCGGCAGCGACGTTGGAATCATTTTGCGAGAAGCAAACCTGGCCCCAAGGGTAGGATGAAAAAAAAGTGCGCATCCCATCCCAGTCTACCGACTTATAGTGCCACACACGACGACAGCCAGCAAATTGCGGCCGCGGTGAGTAAGTGAGTGGTACCATACTCCGGATAAGACAATGATCCGAGGAGCCAAGAGGGGCATCTATGGACACTTTGTAATTATCCGGATGTGAAGTCAGCAGAAGGTCCAACAGTGAAGGTGTATGGTCTTCGACATCTGGGATTCGCGTAGGCGAGGTGACCAGTTGTGTCAGACCATAGGCCAAGGCGAAGTCGTGAGCAGATCTGCCTGCATGATCGGTAGTGGGCGATCCAAGCCATTCGGAGTGGTGGGCATTGAAATCGCCAAGGATCACAATTTCAGATGATGGGATCTGCTGAAGCACGGAGTCTGTAGCCACCTGAACGTGATCATAGAGTCGGTCAGTCTCGGCATTTCCGCTATGGGACCTGTAGAGGCAGGCGTAGACGCGGGGATGGTCATCGACGTCTACACGCAACCATAAGATGGAGAGGTCCCTACCTTCAAAGTTGCTGAGGCGACGGAAACTGATACCCTCTTTAACGTACACACATACCCCAGCCCGTGGTACAAAGTAATGTTCCAAAGTATACCCAGGGTACTGGAGGTAGGAGGCTGGAGAGGATATCTGCGTCTCAGTCAAAAAAAGCAAGGCCGGCTGCACTGTCTGAAGGTGGTAGTGAACAGCATTAAGGTTGGAGTGTAAGCCCCTGATGTTGCAGAAATCCACGTTAAACATGGCAGGGGGTGACGTATGACGCTTGCTCTGGCCTCGAGCAGTTTCAGTAATGAGCGTGGTTTCGCCCTCCCCAGAATACGAAGGGCAGCCTCGACGTCCACGTCCAGAAGGAGACAGTTCTGGGCATGGACGTCCAGAGGGGGATTCTCCAGCGTGAAAACAGCTGATACCCCCCTGGGGTATTATCTTATTTAACTGCGCCATCATGAGGAAAAGGGGGGGGGGGGGGTTGGGCCTCCGGTAGCCTCACTCTCTCGGCGAAACACAGTACAAAGTACTGCTTGACGCCGGTATTCTGTGAGGTCGTGGTATTCCTCCGGACGAGCCGGCCCATTCAGTATCCTAAGCTACTGCGTGGCGCTCCCACGGAAAAACAAGTCTGTCAAATAGGTGTTCGTATACCGATTGCATGGTGTTTTTAAAGTACCTATCTATTTCGTAAGTCTGTATGCTGTGACAACAATTTCAGCGGTTTTATTTTGTAAAATGAAGAAGAAATCTCTAAAATTTTATAAGTAGTGACAGTTTACTTCTATGTGATATTTTATACAAATATAAAAATATTATTGAAAATACAAAAAAATACGGCGCTACTCTTCTTCAAAAACAAAAAGCTTGGCAGGATATAATGGAAGAATATAATGCTGTTATAATGGTTATCATCGCTAAAAAAACGGTCAATAAATATGCACCTACTTATATTATAGTCGACAATTTTTTCGTCATCATCAGAAAACAAAAGTCATCCATCATTTAGAAATAAATAAAATAAATTTTATCTCTATAAAAACAAACAACACAGCCTTTAACAATTTTGACGTTTTAAATCTCGAGCTAGCAATATAACCCTCCAACTTTGGCGGGTTAATTATTTAATTATTTGACCTAAGCTTTAGTGTTAACTCTTGGCAGTGCAAGAAAAAATATTTTTTTAACCCCAGTTTAATAGTTAACTCGGAGCTAAATAAATTAACCCTGGAAAGTGCATGTGGGCCTAAAGGAGAACTTTATCGTGCTGAATCAGTGGATGACCCAGAGGGATATGGATATGGGTAGATGGTTGCCAACCCTACTATATAATAAATAAAGTATCCTTCTAAATGAGGAGATCAAATACTATATTTCTGAAAATAATATATAGTACCTAGGCGAAACTACTTTATTTTGCGTAAAGAGAATATTTATCAGTAAAAGCTTTCTCAAAAATTAAAATTAATTAGTAATTCGCAGAGTAGAGCGAGCAAAAATATTTGTTTGGAAACATAATTTAATATTTTAAACCACATACCTACTATATTTTTTTGCCATCTACTATATATTTAAAGGTAACAGCTTCGAAAATACTATTTTTGATAGACAACAAGTTGGTAACCCTATATATGGGTGATGTTTCAATCAATGTTCGTGTCTAGGCCCTTTGCTTGACAGACGTCTCTTTTATTAGTGGTAGGTAATTAGAGACATGGTACCTACATCAGATTAGCTGTAGGTAATCTGAGGACGATTCATTAATATTTCGCAGAAAAATGTTCAAGTAGGCAAATCTAAAACAACTTATACCTATATGAAATTGTTATAAGTACAGACGGCCGCAGGTCAATATATGCAGTTAAAATCCATAGGAATTTGTGCTTTTTGTTGCTTAACATACGATTCACAATCTACTGAGGAAATTTTGTCAGTTTCTTGTAACTTGTGTTAGTATTATATACCACCACAGTATTTATTTAAACATTTAAATACACAGATGATAGGAGTAGCTAATTTTATTATGTGTGAGATGTACCTAGTACAGTAGGGAACCATTTATATTCCCTACATTTTGAACTTTAAGGGGGTAACATAAGTAACTACCTGCTCCCTCTTTGGAATTTATCCTATTTTGTAAATAGTATTTAGAAAAGGAAGGCAAAGTAAATCCCACGAGGCGCGAGCGAGCAAGAGAACGGGTTATGTATTATTATTCGAACGTCGAATCGGGAGGAGAAACCTGCGTGCGGGCCTCAACGGCCCCGCCCCCGCCCCGCTCCCCTCCGATCATATGTTCGCCGGCCGGGCACATGCCACTCGCTCACTGCGGCTCGGGCGCTCGCCGTCGCAACATAACGTACCGTTTAACGCACGCCGCTCGCCTGCGCACGATCAGCTGTCTGCATAAACACGTCGCCGTCACCGCGAGCGAGAGCTAGCCATCAATAAGCCGCAGTGCGGTGTGAAATGGAGCTGCTGTGCGCGGAGCGCGTGAGCCCTGCTAGCGAGGGCGCGGGCGCAGCTAGGGCGGTGCCGCAGGTCGCTGCGCACGACCCGGTACTGCTGCGGCGGCGCGTGCTGGACAACCTGCTGCGCACCGAGGAGCGCTACGCCGTCACCGCCAACTACTTCGGCACCGTGCAGACCGACATCACCCCCAACATGCGCCGCCTCGTCGCCGAGTGGATGCTAGAGGTGAGCGCACCCGCGCATGCCGCACCCACTCCGCCCGCACCACCCGCGCTGCCCGAACGATCGCCATTTTGTCGCGTTTTCCGGCCACGTGTAGGTTCACTCCCCGAAGGCGAAGACGGTGGCACCCGTATGCTATGGCCACCGTCACCGCCCTCTTACCGAACGACCCCCTTTGAACAGGAGATACAGTGACCCTATGAAACTCGGAGCCGAAACCTGAAAGTCGTGATGATGTGTTAGTGTCTCTAAAGATGTGATGTCCCCGAATGGTGAGTTGCTGGGCTTATTATAATAAAAAGTCGTACTTGAGACTTTGTTTACACGATCAGCTGATTACGTTTCTTATCAGAATGTTGTAATGATTCGATAGTAAACTATTCACTACTTTGTTTTATTTTGTCAAACAGTAAATTGTTCAATGTAATATTAAAATATCAACTGCGAGGAATGGCGAGCCGTTGGGTTGGATCCGTTGGCATATTATTATCTGATGATGATTCCATCGCGAGCAATTCTAACGAGGGGCCCCGCTCTGCGCGGGCGCGCGGTCGCCGACCGATGTGGCTTGCTCGTTCTATTTGAATAATCAGCTGATTTTGACATACTCAGCTGACGCCGACCGGATGCTCGCTATTATCTTGTACTTATAAGCATACATAAATTAAAGATACATCGTCCGAATAATTATTTGCTCAACATTTACTATCATTAGGAGCTTAGTAATCTACTGTAATGCTGGATTGTATTGAGTTCAGGCCTAATGACATTCAACAACTGCAGCTAATTAAGTTTGACTAAGTTTTAGCTCACAATTACTGTGGGCGGGTTAATACTTGTGGCAAGGAGTAAATGCTAGAAGCTTTAGAAGTAAATCAGCTGTGAAGTGAGGCCACGTGGAGCCGCGGCCAGCCGGGACCGGCGCGGCGCGGCGCGGGCGGTGACGTCACGCGGCTGCTGCGCAACGGCCGCGCACTGCTTCGAATGCAGTCCGAGTACTATTACCAGTCACATACTTACTTACTATGCTTCAGCATCAGTAGACCGAAACGTAGAGACTGCACAGTCATTGACACCATAGAGCCTTATCTCCATACCTTATACATAATCATAAGGTGCATCTAGCTCGTTATGATATTATCAAACTGATAGCTAGATAATATCTTGATAAATGTGGAAGTAAAACGTACTAACCGTCATTATGAAAAGTGTTAATTATGTGAAGCTTTTAATTGTAAGATTATCATTCAACTTCGGTTATCTAGTAGAAATTCATTGATAAAAAATATAGCTAGGTATCAATCATCTAGCCGCAAAGTGGGACTTTGCACCCAGGGTTAGTTACGATCTTTCAATTATGTGTATTTAAGTTAGTTAGGCATAGGTATTTTAACCCGATCCGGATCATAAGGGAATCACTTATTGTACCTATTTATCTATCTAGAAAGCTTAGAAATAATATAATATCAATTCTTATATAGATTATGTTGCTTAATACATAAATTGATTCATTAATGTCAACTATGTGTGTCGAAATATCAAGTGAACTGAATGTAGTCCACATCCATAATGCGCCAGCATAAGTGAAAGAGAGCCGGATATATCCGTTGAATCTAAATAGTGCTTGAATCAGCTGACGAGAACAAGAGACAGTCAGCTGAGTACAAGCAAGTATTCCGCGTAGGCATAAAGCAACACGGTCGACGCGATGCGCGTAGGTGATATCTCGATGTAACAGACTACACGATGAGAGTTACATCCGCCGCGTCGCGTTACAGCGACCGTGCGAAACGGCTGCCTCGCCAATAGTTGGCGTGCCACGCCGTGCCACATCTCTCACTCGTGTACATCACAGTCACAGTACAGTCCAATTAGAACCTTATTGGAATTTCAGTTAATTTCCTCCTTGCTACTTCACAAACGACCATTTTTGACAAACTTCCATAATAGAAAGGCAACTAAATCAATCAATTGAATCCCTGGAGTGCCGTTTCACATCTTTCAACCTTGTACGTCATCCATTTTGTTAGAAAGAACCTGATTGCAATTTCAAGTTCATTCTTGTCCGCTGCTAAGTCGAAAACTGTTAAGGTCTATTTTTAATGACTCCGTGGTTGGAAGACAGCTTTACAGCTTTGTTTTCTGTCACGGTTTAAATTCTTTCGTCAGGTCTATGTAAGAAATGAACTTTCCTATTTTTACCCGAATCTAGGTGCACACAAAAAACACTAGCATATAATTAACTCGTTCTTTCTGATTTCCCTAAATATAAACGATAAAGCTAAATCTGAGCTAAGTATTCGATGTGTATTATCTAAATGCACTAGGATACTAAAAACCAGCAAGAAACAAGCAGCTATGTTGTAATCTATGGTTGTACTCATTCATAACGTAACTACTACAAAACGTGCAAGAATAGGGTGTCGGAAATGACCCTACATTTCCGACACTCAAATTAGCTACTTGCGTATAACTACAATTCCTGCTGATAAGAAAAGTTACTGCTGGAAACCAATGCGCCTCGCATTATCGCAATGAGCGTGTATTTCAATTTTATATATATAGGTTATCGGGAATTCCATACGATAAACGCAACATAGGCTGGGTGCGGCTTTACCGATAGAGCTTAAGTTCTAGGAAAACTTAACTATTGCTGACTTACCTACCGTATCAAAATAACTGAACGGAGCGTTTTTTTCAGGTATGCGAAGACCAAGGTTGCCAGGAGGAAGTGTTCCCATTGGCGGTGTCGTACTTGGATAGGTTTTTGAGCGTGTGTGCGGTGCGCAAAAGTCAAGTGCAACTGCTGGGCACCACATGTTTGCTGCTGGCATCAAAGCTGCGGGAGCCGAGTTCAAGATGCCTACCCGCTGAACTACTCATCTTCTACACAGCCAACAGTATCACCTTGGCCGACCTCTGCGTAAGTATTCTTAGTATATTCTTTTCAAACCGATTTCAAGAAAAGAAGAAGATTCTCAATTCTTATTCACACTCTTTTAGAACACCCTCATTGTAAATTTAAACGCAGATCAATATAATTTATGACCACGGTATTTGGACGCGGGCTGCAATTCTTTACTATCGACACACAAATCGGGATGTTATGCTCTAAATGCCCACTTTAATATTTAAAACTATACTTTCTTCGCGTAGACTAACAACTAACAGCTGATCTTAATTAACCATGCGTTTCTTGCGGTTGCTTTTTACTCATGTGCATCGATCGGATCCGACGATCTTGTGCATAGAAGCTAAACGTATTCGTGTCGCTCAGTCCAATGATTTCTTCATACAAAGTTGTATCCGAGAGATTGGAATAATTTAAAAAAATGTTAGTTAACTTGGTAGGTAAGTATTGCAGTTTGTCAATTTCTCTAACACGAATCATTCAATGCACATTAAAAGAGTATCGCGAATATTTATATAATCATTCTTGATGTTTTGGTTCCTTTTCAGGTTCTGTGGTACAAGACTGGTTTTGTCTTTAACAACAGAGCCTCAAAAATATCCTATAGGTACCTATGTCAAGAATGAATAGGTCTATAAAAAATTTAGCAAAAGGATTTCATACCCGTTTAAATGTGTTATATTAAAAATATTCCTTGTGTTTGAAAATTAACCATTTATAGTTCAACTCTTTTTAGCTTAGAATATGCTCCTAGCTTTTCAGTAATGTTGTTTGAGTTATGTTTCTTATCATAACATCGTGATGAACACGCACAAATAACAGAGATATAAATAGTATACCTATTTCAAAATAATTCCCTTGTTCTTTAAGTAGTTTTCAACTAACTAGTACGTTTCGTTATTCATCTAGACCAAAAAGGTTACTTATACAAAAAAGGCATACACGTTCTACCTTTGTTTTTTTATCTGTAGAAATCAATACGTTATATTGTTTCAGAAGATTGCTTTGAATTAGTTTGAAATTCAGCTTGATGTTTTGATACAATTTTGTGAAAAATCGAGTTTTGCATTTGCATCGGTTGATTCGACATGATGGCTGCCTTGGTTCACATAATATCGCGTGCGTGCCCGCTGCCACCCTGCCGGGGCCCCGCCAGATAATGAGTGCACACCGTCTTTGCGTTACATTCGACCTGTTTTGTAGCTACGGCCTGCAAGCGCAGCGCAGGAATGCACTTGTGTACTCATTAGTTATACTTTAGAATGCCTATCGTTCACGTTATAATACCTATACTATTATAGGTACTTGTCTATGAATCAAACTTTAAGAAGTTACAAATAGCAATACGTGCACTAACGTTTTCTTTGTTAATTCTTAGTAGGTAGGTACGTGCTACAATAAACACAGCACCTATTTTTCTCAATGTTAATTTGAAGGTGACCTATGTAATTTCAACATGAAATTACAGTGTGAAAATGCGAATTTTACGGTTAGAGCAAAAGAATACCTAGACGCACGCACTCAAATATTGAATGTCTATATTTTTTCTTTCTTTCTTGAATATGTCGATTTAAATTTACCTATTTTCAATACGTATCAAGTTTCATTAAAATTACAAATTAACTACCTGCTACCCTTTTACTTTGCGAAATTAATAGTGCAAGTTGGCACCTAAGTAGTTACGTTACAACCTGTGTTTCATTACACGTAAATTACTTAAAAACGCATTTAACCTTATAAAGTAAGAGAGCGTTTAAAAATTTGTACTCGGAATGTGGCTACCCCGGACAGTGTCCCTTAACGAGCCGGCGAGCTTCTCGGAAGAGAGAACGAGGCCCGCGTTTCAATCAGACCAATTACAGACGAAGCACGCTGCTTATTTTTTCTCACGCCGGCCGCCGCCCCGCGCCGCCTGACGACCTCTACGCGACTATATTCGACACTCCACGAATAATATCGCACCTTATGTTCTTCGCATATTTTTATCTTAGCAACTAGTACCTTTTGGTTATCGGATCCATTTCGCTATCCAGCAATTCTCTTATTACATCGGATTGATGAGTATTTTCATACTATGCAGGTGTTCGAAGCAGTCAGTAAGATTAGCCTTATTTTTGGTCTTAAACATGAATGCCTCTGATGAACCGAAACGACTGGAAACGCTTCGGATCGCCTTTTGTTTGTTCTGTATTTCACCTTCGCATTAGGTTGCCAGATGATCGGGAAATCCGGAAAAGTCCAGAAAGGACAATGTTAAAATTGGCCTAAGAACCAACACCAATTTGGCATTTATGATAATTCTTAGTATACTTATGTTTTGCGATAATTATCAGTTTTAAGATTGTGACGGACACTTCCAGTTAAGTAAGCTAAATTAAAAAGTTAATAAATAATCTGAGACAATAAATACCATTTTATGTGTATAATCTATGACAGCGCTGCAAACAAAAAACACTTTCTTCCTAATGCCGGCACTTCACTTGGCTATTCGTATTTGCTATTTAAAAACATGACATCAGTCTGTCCTTTTCATTCCTTATTAAGCATGACAAGGACAAACTGTTGTCAAATGAAGGGCCGGCATAAACTCGATACTCTGTGGTTGTGGTGCAGGCAGTTTGCATTCGAAGTAATCTGTGGCATTCGTGTATTCTCGTCAAATAGTACTTTTATATATATTTTATAAAATTCTCGTTTCGGATTACCTGTTGTGTGTGTTTATTTGCGATTGTTTTTCCTTTAATTTAACTTTTACTATTTCGGCTATCTAATATGCCATCGATGTTACCAAAAAGCAGAGACCATATTACCAAGTGCTAGTGAACCTGTGCCACAACATCCTGAGAGGATCATACTGCCAAATTATTCAAGAGCACCTGATATACATTCACGCTGCATATTTACACAATATACATGTGTTAAACAAATATATAAAATAATGTGAAAAATAGCCAATAAATAATAAGAAGCAAAACATGTCCATGTCAAAAAATAAAATGGTTATCACTTATGGGTATGAAAAATAGATAGTAGCCGATTCTCAAACTTACTGAATATGCATTATAACATTTCATTGCATTATTTCATTCATAAAAATCGGTCAAGCCGTTTCGCAGGAGTATGGTAACTAACATCGTGACACGAGAATTATATATATGTATAAGAATAAGATAAAATATTTTGTTCGGATTTCACCGTACCCGGTACTTTATTACGACATTTATATGGTGACGAAGATTTTTCGTTCCAATTAAATTCTTCTTTATATAAAATCGTGAGCATCTACGCGTCGGCCGCGAGTCGATATGTATAAATAATTGCTGAGTCACTCTCGATAAAAGCACTAGTTTAGAAAGATATAAAGCTGTAATTTTATTAATATAAATTTATTACGAGCTTTTTATTCTCGTATTTATATCGAAAACAAAACTCTTTGAGTCATTATATCTATGTATCAATAACTGAATATCCTTAATTTTATTATTCATCATTATTATCTCATCATCATCAGCCTATTAATGTCCCGACTGCTGGGGCACAGGCCTTCCCTATGGATGGAATAGGGAGAGATCCATCCTTAATTATTATTACTATTATTTGTCAAAGAGTGTACAATTATATTTCTTTGATCATTGTATGTGGCAAACGCACAGTGTTGTGTTTTTCTTAATATTATTTAAATTGAATGTAAACAATTAGCTCACTCCATTCTCCTTTAAATTTTAATTATTCCAAAAACTTCATGCTCCTCAAAGAACGTAAGCGCAGTGTTGTTAAAAAGGGGTAAAAAAAAGTATTTTCTTCACGTATTTAATAAAAATTATGAATATACTTTTAATATTTAGCTATTTTTTTTAATAAATCATGTCGCAATCTATTTAAGTAAAACAAATCATGAAAAACTGGAATAATTTTGTTTACCCACACCTGCTAAGCCTTATTAAAGTGCATATTAGTGCAAATGAAGTAATAAAGTAGACATTGCAAATACAATATCACAGTTACACTAGGTTCTAGTTATATTACAGAACTTAAGTTATCTTCTTTGAATCTCAATAAATCATTTAATAATAATGCATGAAAGATTTCGTAGTGAATCCGTAGCAATGTGCTACGAAAACCGTAGCAGGCTAAAAACGACTAAAATCTCTTGCATTTTGTCGTTTTCTAGCGGCTGTTTTGTCGACTTCCATTACCTGCCACAATAAAGAATATTTTCCATGAATACTTAGATTCTTAAAGGTATATTTGTAAAATATAATGAAATAACGCAAGACGAAAACTGTTAAATACAGCTCTGTCTATAGTTTAAACATAGTCGCATTTCACGTAACAGATCACAATTAATTAAAAAATAATTTATGTACAACAGAAGAAATGGAGAATTTGTTTTTGTTTTAACTTTCATTTAAACATAACTATAAAAGGTCAAAGTATCAATTAACTTATAATATTTCCTCAGAGTTATTTTAAAAGAAAAGAAATTTAATTGCGCTTTGTTTTTTCTGCGATATGCCAATCACTTGCTTTTGATTAATTTAGTGTCCATTTTGATCATTGACCGATGAGTTCGTGCACGCTGGTCGAATACCTTCGGACAAGGGTTGTCACTATAGCAGAAATATATATATATATATATACAAACAAATATACATGATTCATGAAAAGCCATGTAGATATTTGATTGGAAAATGATGTTTTGATCTTCCAATTTGTAGATACGCCTAATGATGATAAGAGTATTTTTATGTTATTTTGTATTGTCCAATACTAATACATCTTTAATCGCTTCGAAGAGCACAGTATACAGCCCTATGTTCGTATGGCTTCTACTCTGAGACTCCGAGCAAAAAGAGTACGAGTCGGCATCCGAGCCTCGGTTCCCGCGCTCGTCGACCATAAACGTGCACTCTCACATCCAACCGTCCAACACCGTAAACGTTTATTATAATTGAAGCATACGTTTACGAGCCACGGCGCTGTTCGCCAAAAGAGAAAATTCAATATCGACCCAACAACGGCGTTCCTTTATCGTACCTCCTCTGTCACAATTATTGCATTGCTGAGTTTAATCAATAGGTTTACTTTTTTGGGCAATAAGTTTCTTCTTTAAATGGATTTCTTCTCCGTTCTTTTTTTATGAAGGATATCCCTAAAGATTTGGAAAGTATCCTAAAAGCATAAAGGATAAACAAAAGGAAATCTACGAAGTTATTGATTATATGTAATAAACCGAAATATTGTTCTCTTATTGCACGACAATACGCCGACCAGCTTAAATCTATTTTCATAAAAACATATAAACCAGAAATAATTCAAAAATTTCACATCTCACAAGCTTGTTTAATTAACTCATCCATATTTGAAATAATTACTAATTCACTTATTGTTTTGTAATTTTCTATCCTTATAGAAGTTAAGTATACCCTTGTATACTTAACTTGTAAAGATAAATGTTTCGATAGGTTTACTCCATCTTCACACGACAATGAAACTACCATTTAAAGCAAGTGTGTAATTTTATTATCCTTAACGTTATGGTGAGTTTCGCACCGTCTACTTGGCCATAAGTATCAGTAAAAGGAAATGAACACTATTGTTATAATGTAAGGGAAGTAATGAGTAATGTTAGACTGGCGGTTGTTTGTGGATCTCACGACCGACGGCGGCGCAGCTATACCGAGTATACCGATACAGCTTGCGCCGAGAAACCAGTCAACCCACACGATTGAAACAACGATATGGATCGGGCTTACCCTGCCTGATTTGATAAAAACTATCGTCTTTGACGTCTTCTTATTACATTTTTATAATTTGCCACTGTTTGAGATTTTCTGTTACGTCTGGAAAAAACAAAATCGAAACTGAAACTGTATCTGAATCGCTCACTCCCAACTATTAAAAACGCACTAAAATGACCGACATCAGTGAACTGAATTGACGCCATCAGCAAGATAGTGTGCAAGACCTGGATGCGAGGAATCGGAGTGCGTGGAAAGAATATGAAGAGGCCTATACCCGACGATGGGTGAACCCAGGCTCGTAAAAGAAGATTTCAAAACTACTTGTACATATCTATTTTAGGCAGTTTCAAAACTTTACTATCGGAGACTACGTTTAGGGTGGCTGGTCATTCCCTTATCATATTACACGGAATTGAAATGCTTGTGTTGTTATCATTGAGTCCGCGTCCCTAAGAAGAACTAAGATTGGTACCTATTGAAATATGTTTATCAAAGTTGGAACCCGATTAGTCCGTCTCCACAGCAACTTTATCCTAGAATGATCGACTTAACAATTGCCTCAGATAGTAATAAAAGTTTTAAAGTAGTGGATACCAGTCGAGCAGCTCCTTCTATGCGGGCAAAGCGGGCAGCGACCGACCGCGTCAAAAAAATTTAATTTGTGGTTAGGAGAATCGCGAGGCAACTGGCCATTGTGCCGCTGCTTAACATAGGAAAAGAAAAGAACCTCACTGAACCACACCTACGTAGATATAAAAATACCGATCACTCGATATTATTATTATAAGTACATAAAAATATTGTAAAGGTCTAACTAAAACGGAATGTAAAACCTAATCATTTTGCAAATATTCGCTGATGGCGGCTCTTACGTAAGCCTTATGATATTTTGCATGCCATTCACGTTTAACACGCTCGTATAGTTTAAAATTCAATGCTTACTTGTCGGGCTTCCGACAGATAAGAATCTTGAGATAAAGAGAGAAACCTCTGAAGATGTTATTATTGTAAAGAGGACTTTTAAGAATTACTGAATAAAGTAGATTATGCACGTTCGAAGCTGTTTGTGGTTTTTAATATTTTCGATAGTCGTATAGTTATTGAAGTTCGAGCTCAAGTTAATAATAGCCTAAAAGAGGTAAACCATTAGGTCATTTAAGTATTCACTCTAGCTAGTCGCTTGCCTATTTTAGAAGAAAGACTTGGTGTTGGTTTGAAGTTAATGAGCGAGTTTGATCGAAATTTCGAATATGTTCTTGGTTCAATAACTAGTGCTTGGTCGGTTATGCGTGTTCTTATCCGCATCTGGAAAATTCCAAAGTTGTTTAGTCTCAGGAGCGTGGTAGCCACGCGACACCGTCGTCATTGTTCGATTTTAACAGCGACGCATTCACACCGTTGATCGTTCGATGAAATTGGATAAAGCATGGGAACCGAGCGCGGAATTCTGCGAGTGCGTCGCGGGCGGCGACGGTTGTTTGCATAGCTCGCTTTATTGGCCGTAACGCGGCGCGGCGACCGCTGCCTCGCTCCGCCTCCTCTAATGAACACCAGCCCTTAACTCCCAAGCCGCATTCCACGGGACTCGGGTTCCGCGGCTGCGGCTCCTACCTATCGCCGCATGCACCGCATAGGTACGGGCCGAGCTCAGCTGCTACGGGCGCTCATACGGGATGATGTCACATAATTATCGTGCATATTTTACTGAATAACAATCCTCCCGAACAGATATGCGTAGTTATATCCGTCTGGCATCGTGCTCGGCGACGCCGTCTGCGGTGCGATGAATACTTTATGAGCGCATTGTTTTCGAGTTCTTCAACCGGTCGCTCGCAGCTTCTCCCAAAGACAGTTTCGTTTCGCGGTCGACCCGCATACCACCGCGCGGTTTACAGCCTTCGCTCATCTAATATCTATTCGACAAATTTATGGGCACAATATGTGAGAAATCCAATTGTTAACGAATAAAATCATATGACTCTTAAATACATTTGAAAGTCGACAGACGGACGGACGACTCCACAAAGCGGCCTCACACTGACACGCCGAGTTATTTAAACTTCCAGTGATGAGACTTCATTCATTCACAAGTCGTTCGATTCAAAAGCGAGAAGTAATAAGCAGAGACCGTCGCTGAACGAGAACAGGCTCTAATGCTAGAGAATAAAACGCAAAGCTCCATGGGGGGACGAGCGAGCAAGTAATGCGTCGTCGACCCCGCCGATTGAGTTAAGTAAACATAAAAGTATTATCTGTCAACGGACATGCATGCATCGCTTACATGTATGTGTACGTCTATAATCGAGTTATTCATAAATTAACCGGCCCGATATCAGCAACAGTTACGTATACCATTTAGTTGATATTTTGTTAATTAATTTAATCTAGGTCAATTTTATTTGTAGATGACGAAAGAATAACAAACTGATAAATTGCAAGTTTCTTAATAAAAACAAGTAGGTAGGATACAATGTAGTTTCGATACAATGTTGAAATAAAAATGTAGATCTTTTATGAATCGTTGTAATAGGTACAATTTTCCTAACGTTTGATGATTATAATTATTACCTAGGTATAAAGCATAACGAAATGCCTTCAATACAAATCTTATCCATTTATAGGAATCGCACATAACTAACCTTTATTTCGTCTGCGCTTTTGATTGCACAACAATGTGTGGGTCGTACACGCGCGCCCCGTTCCGGGAAGTCGGGCGAAACTTGGTATGTTTACGATTATAGGGCGGATGTACTTGCGGCCCGCTGCGGTAGTATCAAGCTATAGTCCCAGCGTCATGCCGAGATGCCATAGCGACTCGACACTTTCTTTTTAATAGCCCTTATCAGTTTCCTTTTTGTTGTAACAAAACTCCAATACTACAACATCTGGGTAAAAATAATGGAATTCCTTAAAGTATCTTTAGAGATGGATGTTTCAGTTCAGTTTGATCCATTCCACTGCGGTGGTGTTCTTAGATAAATCTCATCAAACTGAAATTAATACCACCTTTGATCAGCGAGTTGTAATAATACTACGTACCTTTGATGCATTTTACTACTTAGTTTTTGTTTTCTTTCATGGCGAGCGAATTGTGATTGCGAATGCAGTTTAATAAACGATAAGCCATAAAATACAATATTCTGCAGATTTTTCAATAAATACACTTCCAGCAGTCCAAATGGTTACTTGTAAACTTTAACCGGGTGTTCTTATCAGGGATTTTTGATTGTCAACAGAGCTGGGAGTTGCTGGTGCTATCAAAGCTAAAGTGGGATGTGGCTGGCGTGACAGCGCACGATTTCCTACCGCTCCTTCTGTCGCGGCTACCGCTGCGGGGTCTCGTCAACACTGAGATGGTGCAACGCCACGCGCAAACCTTCATCGCACTCGCAGCCAGAGGTAAGATAATTTCATTATTATTTAAAAAAAAAAGTGGCTTAAAAGAGCTTAAATTAGTAACCATTTGCCAATAAAATATGCTCATATTTTGATAAATGGATACTATGCAATACAGAATTACAGACGCCTGCATGTAGCACCAAGAGTATCTATCATACACACTCGATCTTTGACAATGCGATTTTTCATGGAGCCAACGTATTCGTGTAAAAAAATGTCTTGATGGCAATAAAATCCACTTTGTTTTGTGTGACCTAAGTCCAGATAATATCATACACACTCAACAGTCAATCTAAAGCAGCTATACTCTAAGTGTGTTCCGCGGAACCCTAGGGTTCCGTGATACCTCTGTCGGGGTTCCGCAAGAATTTAGAAATAAAAAAATCAAAACACCTCTCTCTGGTCGCTCCGCGGCTGTGCGGACTCCGCGGCCGCGCGGAGACAAAACGCTATGAATGTTATTTATTTATTTATTTGTATTTGTATAAGCTTGTGTTACATTAGCTGGTACAATATCTCATAAGTTTGGTCTCAACAATTTTATACTTGTACAACGCGTTCGCTCTAAGTTTGCCGGTCTGTGGAATGCGCGTACCCTCCCCCACGTGACAACAAAACTTATAATGTGTCATAGTTTTACCCAAATATCTAACGTACACAATTTTTATTGTTACAATTAAATAAAAAATTTCGAACGTCATACACTCATACCTATCGCCAGCGGCAAACTTAAAACGAGCGGGTAGTATACTTGTAAGCGCTCAGTCTCTTTGATAAAAGCCGCCTCTGAATTAGACGCTATAGTTGTCAACTAGCGACTTTCGTCTCTAACTTCAAAGGATAAAGTCGATATTGTTTACAACGCTATTTTTAAATTTCTGTTTTTATTTTTGCTTTTTGTTTATCAAAGGTGCCGACTCGAGTATTTTCGAGAATATTTGAGATCGAGTCTAGGACTAAGTATAAAAGCGGCGATCGCGCGTTGGCGTCGTCAGTTGATGATTAGCGTTCGGAGCGATAAGTTACTACCTACTTACAAGCTCGCTAGCGAGAAACTGGTGTTCATTGTTTTACTGCCTGCTGTATTCTGTTGTCTCAGTTTTATACATTTCTTCCCTGTAGGTTCTAAATTTAGTCTCTTATACGCAGTAACGATTGTGCATTATTTAAACCCCACTATCCTGACTTGTAACATTATAAATAAAGAAGAATGGAACGTTGGCTTAAAGGTGTTAAACGTGTTCCAACAACATCTTCTAATGACGCTGAATGTTCAAAAGCAATGCGCGCGGAGAATTTAGCAATCACCGATCCAGAAGATGATGCCACGAGTGCCACGACGTCAAGCTCGACGGTTTCAAAGACGAAAAAAAGGAAGTATGATGAATCTTATATCAGTTTCGGATTTGTTGATTCCAACGGCTCACCTCTCTGCATGCTCTGTAGTAAACTGCTTCCTAATAGTTCCATGGCACCTGCCAAATTGCGTCGACATTTAGAAACCGTACACCCCGAGACTAAAGACAAGAATAAAGAATTTTTTGTTCGCAAAAAAGATCAGTTATTAGAAAGTCAAAAAAATATGATGCATGTAACACAAACTACCAACGAAAAGGCCACGGAGGCATCATACTTAGTTAGCTATCGCATTGCACAAGCAGGTGAAGCGCACACTATCGCTGAGAAATTAATAAAACCATGTGTATTAGACATAACAAAATGTATGCTTGATGAAAAATCTGCAAAGCATCTTTCTACTGTTCCGCTATCAAACGATACTGTTTCACGACGAATCCATGATCTGGCAAGCTACGTCAAACAAGAACTAGTTACACGTCTACAAAATACACGATTCGCTTTGCAAATGGACGAGTCGACTGATGTCGCTGGTTTGGCTATCCTGCTGGTTATTGTGAGATATCCATATAAAAGTTCTTTTGAAGAAGACATGCTTATGTGTTCATCGCTGCTTACAAACACTACCGGGGAAGAAATTTTTAATAAAATAAATATATTTTTTGAAGAACATAATCTCAGTTGGAACAATTGCATTGACATTTGTACAGATGGGGCCAAGGCGATGACAGGTAAAACAGCAGGAGCAGTGTCACGAATGAAAAATAAAGCGCCTAATTGTAGTTCCAGTCATTGTATTCTGCATAGACAAGCACTTGCGATGAAGCAAATGCCGTCTAATCTAAAATTAGTTATGGATGAAGCGGTAAAAATAATTAATTTTATCAAATCACGACCACTACAATCCCGATTGTTCTCATTATTGTGTGAAGATTATGGCAGCAAACATAAAACACTGCTGCTCCATACAGAAGTGCGATGGCTGTCTCGGGGAAAAACTTTAACAAGGCTATTTGAACTTAGAGCCGAGTTACAAATGTTTCTTTCAGCAGATACTTCTTTTAATTTGAAGGACCGTTTGTATGATAAAACTTGGTTGTTCCGATTGTCTTTTATGGCGGATATCTTTCAAAAACTTAACGAATTAAATTTATCATTGCAAGGTAAACAGACAACAGTGTTTCAGGCCTATAATAAAATAACTACTTTTAAAAGAAAATTAGATTTTTGGATCATTTGCATTGGTAAGAAAGAAATAGAAAGTTTTACGTTACTCACTGAGTTTGTTAGCGAAAACGACTCAGAAATGTTTGAAGATAATGTGTTTGAAGAATTGGTCCAATATCTCAGTTCGATGCGCGCATCTTTTGAAAAGTATTTTCCCGAAGAACACAATACAAAAATTAAAGTGAACTCCTGGATTCATAATCCTTTTTTACCCAACTTGGAAAAGCCTGAAAACATGTCAAATGAGATATATGAATCTCTTTTAGAAATGTCATCAGACACAAGTATGGAGTCATTGTTCAAAACGACGCCTCTTAATGATTTTTGGTGCAGAATCCAAGATGAATATGCAATGCTTGGCCAAATGGCTCTGGATATTCTTCTCCCGTTCCCAACTACATATTTGTGCGAAACAGGATTCTCTACCTACGCAGCCACGAAAACAAAATATCGCAATAGACTGGACGCCGAAGCTGATATGAGACTCCAACTTTCTTCCATCAAACCTGATATCAAGCAATTGATGAAAAATAAAAAACAGTTTCATACCTCCCACTAGTTAGATTTTTTCTTTTTTAATGTTTTCTATTATTGTCCTTACCAAGTGGTGAAGTAAATAATAATTAGAAACGGATACATTGTACTTTTATTATGCTGATTAATATAGAATACACTTATAAAAATAATTGTTTTATTGTAGGGTTCCATCAAGTATTTTGCTTCCCAAAAGGGTTCCGTCATTTAAAAAGTTTGAGAACCACTGATCTAAAGAAATACCAAACATTGTATTTAGTGCGTAGTTGTTCGAGCAGTCATGCGAAAATGGTTTTGGAAAGTTTAGCACCTTAAAGCTGTAACACACGCTCGAATTTGGTTCGAACAGACCACGAATTTGGTTCGCATCCGAACCAAATCTGACCGTCTGAAGAGTAGTCTTGCGAACTTAATTATTATTAATTGAGTCCGCCTCGGTCCGCTAGTTTGCACATGGGATATGGTTTGCTCCGTACTGAATCTGGACGTGTGGACGGTTGGGCCGAACAAAGTACAAACTACGTCTAGTCGTGTTCGGAACGCCAAGAAGGACGGCCGCGTGGTGCTCATTTTACATTATGGAGGAAATTTAATAAATTTTCAAAGGTTTCGCGGTTCATTTGCAGATTTATTTTAAAATCATCTTCATCTGAAATTCTTATCAATTTTTTGTGACTAAATTCGTCACTTTCTCTTAAACACTGTTTCGCCCATTTTCTTTTTTTTCCGCTTTTTACGTGGTGGCTGAAACGTTGCTGCTAATGTTGCCGCTACCACCATAATTTTCGTGTCCAACGGCATGATGACCACCGTGTGCACTTGAAGGCGTACGTTAAGCAACGTCCGATTCGGTCGTCTGTAGCGAGGACGGATTTAGTAGGCGGGTTTGGTCTGCCGGACCAAATTCGAGCGTGTGTTAAAGCTATTAGAGCTATACAGCTATACAGACAAGATATCTGACAATAATGATGGGATATTTGGCTGTTTAGTTTGTTCTTTGTAGTTTTTTATTCTTATATATTTTTTTAATGGTATAATGCAACGGTATAATTATCCAGTTTTGAAACGGGAAATATTTAATTGATCATAAAAACCCGTACAAGTGTGAATCGGACTCCCCCACCGAGGGTTCCGTATAAATTACGTATGCAACCCATACGGCCGTATCTCTTTTTTATGTTAACTTGGAAGTTAAGGGACCGTAGACTCAAGTCTATGATTTAAAGGACATTGTTCAGCGTCCATACATAGTTAGCCTAAGAACCAACAATCATGAAATATTGTTTTCTAGGTTCGAAATCGTAAGTAAATGACTGTAAAAACAAAGATTATTGACGGACACTTCTGAGAACTTAAATTATTAGGAAAACTAAATGTTTTTTGAGGTTATGTTTAATATTCAATGAAACATAGGTTAACCTATGAACTTAGTATGAAGTGAATTAATATTAGAACTAATCATTTCATTTCATCAATCACTCATCATTTTATTTGGTGCGATTTTAAAGAATAACTATTTAATATAGGTAGGAATCATGAATAAAATAAAAGCTGTAGTTTTGCTTCTTATTTATTGACTATTTTTCACATAATTGTATCATATTGTATATGGTATTTATTTGTATATCACATGTATATTGTGTAAATATGCAGCGTGAAAGTGTATCAGGTGTTCTTGAATAATTTGGCAGTATGATCCTCTCAGGATGTTGTGACACAAGTTCACTAGCACTTGGTAATAAGGTCTGTGCTCTTTGGTAACATCGATGACCGAAATAGTTTAAATTAAAGGAAAAACAATCGTAAATAAACACACACAAACAACAGGTAATCCGAAACGAGAATGCACTTTCCTGTATATTATATTACTCTTTGGAATACAC